ATCATATCATACTCTTGTTACAATTAACGGAATAGAATGATGACCTAAGTCAAGTAGCACACTACTCGAGTAATCGTTTCACGCCTATTCCCTGTGGGATTCGACCCCAACCTTGTTGGGTTATTATATTTGACACTGACTGCCTTACACTATTTAATTAAAGTGTAATTTGAGCATATCAGTTTATACCAAATAGGGTCGGGCCAAGATGAAATCTCCTTTTCCTAACCGAAATAGGAAAATTTGCAAACTTATTACTTTTCATGCGTTGCCCAGTGCGTCGCACTAATGCTTTTTCCTATCGGACCACAAAAAACCCAGTCTCTGAACTTTGGAAATTTCTGACAAAACTTTGCACTAATGCGTCGCACAGTGCCTCGCACTAGTGCATTTCTTCAGCAGTTGCTTCTTCCTTGAATTTTGAGGTCCAGAATTGATCCTCGACCCGCGAACATGATCCTGGCTTAATTCCTTGGGCTTTTACTAAGACTTCAAAGCTCCAAATAGCTCAAATTAGTTCCACAACATCTACATAGCTCAGAATCACTCCTACAAGGCATAAAACACGCAATTAGTGCAAAACACTAGCGATTAAAACTCAAACTCAATTAAAATGTAGCAAATTAGAGTATAATAAGCGACTAAAATACGTAATTATAGCCTACCATCATTATACCACTGAATCAAATCGATGAACTTATTAGTTACATATATCGATATTAATTGATTAAAACTCCATTGACAACTATTAAAAAGCTTCGAAGCTTTGAATTCGAAAATTAAATTTTGTGAAATTATTATTTGTTTGGATTGGATGTTGTTGCAAATGATGGAAAATATCCTTTGGAGTTTATATCTCAATTTTGGAATAATTTGGTGAAGATTCGAGCTGGTTTAGGTTAGAATATAAGATTTAAACTCGAAGAAGAAAACATAAATAAATTGCATATATTTTATATTTTGGGTGTAAAAGCGTCATACGAAGTATATACAACTAACATAATTGTATAAAAGTTTTATATAAATTGTAATTTTTGACCAAATTCTAAAAAATTATATTTAAGTTATAGATATATCGTAGATTTTGACCGAATTTGTATATTTTGTTTAAAAACACTTTAGTTACTTTTTGTAAATAGAAAAACTTAGATAAACCGGTAAATAAATTTAAAATTTTGTATATATACGAAAAGGTCCCTTTCTAAAAAACTTGAGCTACAGTGTAAATACTGGGTTATTTAGGTAATAAAAAACAATTTGGCCAACTCCGGTAGGCTAGAAAACGGGAAAAATTTAAAAATAGTCAGATTTACAAGTGGTCATTCAAAAATAGCTACAGTTTCAAAAGTAATCGAAATTTAGCCACTTTTTATGTAAAGATAAATTTGAACGAAAATACTGTCCGAAATTTGGAAAATACTCCAGTATAATATACTGGAGTTCCAGTATAATATACCGGTCCAGCATAATATGCTGGAAGTTCACATACAGGTGCACTGATCTCCAGTATATTATGCTGGAGCTTTCCGTGTTGCAGCAAAATAGTGGTTATTTTTCAATGACTTTGCAAACGTTGGCTATTTTTGAATGACCAGTCTGAAAACTGGCTAGCCCATACTATTTTGACCTAGATTGTGTATCCGGCCATAATTATCCCTTCTTTTTAACGTTAAAATAGCACGGTCTAGCCAATTTTCGGACTGGTTAATCAAAAATAGCCAGGGTTTGCCAAGTTATTGAAAAATAGCCACTATTTTGCTGCAACAGAGACCGATCCAGCATAATATACTGGAGTTCAGTGCACTTGTGTATGAACTTCCAGCATATTATGCTGGACCGGTATACTTTACTGTCTCCAGTATAATATACTGGAGACTGGAGCACTGGTGCTCCAATATCCAATATATTATGCTGGACCGGTATATTATACTGGAACTCCAGTATATTATGCTGGAGAATTTTTTCGGATTTTGAACAGTGTTTTCATTCAGATTTATCTTTACATGAAAAGCGGCTAAATTTTGATTACTTTTGAAACTGTGGCTATTTTTGAATGACCACTTGTAAATCTGGCTATTTTTGAATTTCTCTCTCTTTTAACTCCAAACATGGGGGCATTTGCATCTATACCCACTTTTTGAGTCACGTTTTAATTTGTGTCCCTTTGCAAAAAAAAATTACAAGTGTACACACTTTTTCGTGTAACTTCAGCATACGGGACTGAAGTAGCAAAGGCAATCACGCAAAACTTCAGCATTCTAGTAGACGGGCCTGAAGTAGCGAAAATTGCTGAACCAAGTGTGCTGAAGTTTTTGTTTGTAATTGCTGAACTTAAGCATAGTAACTGAAGTTTTGTTCTCTATTTGTTGAAGTTTTTGTTTGTAATTGCTGAACTTAAGCATAGTAGCTGAAGTTTTGTTCTCTATTTGCTGAAGTTTTGTTCTCTATTTGCTGAAGTTTTTTTTGTCCTGGATTCATTAGTTTTGTCATTAAGCGTTTTCAAAAACTTCAGCAGAAGATGTTGAAGTTATTTAGTTCATTTATAAAAACTTCAGCACTAAATAAGCTGAAGTTGTTTTGTCCTGGATTCATTAGTTTTGTCATTAAGCGTTTTCAAAAACTTCAGCAGAAGATGCTGAAGTTATTTAGTTCATTGATAAAAACTTCAGCACTAAATAAGCTGAAGTTGTTTTGTCCTGGATTCATTAGTTTTGTCATAAAACTTTTTCAAAAACTTCAGCAGAAGACTCTGATGTTATTTAGTTCATTTGTAAAAATTTCAGCACTATATAAGCTGAAGTTTTTGAAAAACTTTCTAACATACTAGATAAATAATTAAATTGTCAGCAGTATCTAAATCATAAATTTTGGAAACAATAAACGTGAAAGGAACAAAATTATCATGAAAAGAATCACTAAGTGTGACCTTAAACTTCCCGTACATGGAAATATTCACAAATTACTGTCTATTAACTTACGTAATTATTTACAATTTATTTTTAAATAATCTGGTAAACATACTTATGGCAATCATCCTATGAGCTGAAGTTTCATAGCAGCACCAACAGCAGCAGAAGAAAGAAGAAGAAGAAGAAGAAGAAGAAGAAGAAGAAGAAGAAGAAGAAGAAGAAGAAGAAGAAGAAGAAGAAAACAAAGGAGGAGAAAGGGGGCTGAAGTTGTTTTAAAAGTGGGTACAAGTTAAAACTTTTTAGAAAAATGGGTATAGATTAAATAGGGGCGACCAAATAGGGCGCACCGTGCAATTTTTACTGGGGATTTGCATCTATACCCGCTTTTTATGTCACGTTTTAACTTGTGCCCGCTTTGCAAAAAAAAAATTGCAAACGTACCCGCTTTTCGCATAACTTAAGCATACGGGGCTGAAGTAGCAAAGACAATCACGCAAAACTTCAGTATTCTAGTAGATGGGCCTGAAGTAGCAAGTGTGTTGAACTAAGTGTGCTGAAGTTTTTGTTTGTAATTGCTGAACTTAAGCATAGTAGCTGAAGTTTTGTTCTCTATTTGCATTGCTGAAGTTTTTGTTTAGTAACTGGCGAACTTCAGCTCTAGAGCTGAAGTTTTTGTTTTGTAACTGGCGAATTTCAGCTCTAGAGCTGAAGTTTTTGTTTTTGTAACTGGCGAACTTCAACTCTAGAGCTGAAGTTTTTGTTTTGTAACTGGTGAATTTCAGCTCTAGAGCTGAAGTTTTTGTTTTGTAACTGTCAAACTTCAGCTCTAGAGCTGAAGTTATTTAGTTCATTTGTAAAAACTTCAGCAATGGACATTTTAATTCTTATTGCATACAACTATACAAGTAACTTGGTGTTTCGTTGTCATGGGCAAGATGCTAAATTTGTGGTGAATTGCTTTCACTTCAGCCTGAAGTTAAGGGTGAAAAAGGACATGGTGCCAAACAATGACCACTTGCAGATCGATTCGTATTTCTCGACTGGAATACAGTAGTGTAAGAAAATTTTCGTCTTATCATTGAACCAAATATGTCTACACAAAATTTTAATAATTGAAGTTCCATAACAGCACTAACATCATCATCATCATCATCATCATCATCATCATCATCAGAAGAAGAAGAAGAAGAAGAAGAAGAAGAAGAAGAAGAAGAAGAAGAAGAAGAAGAAGAAGAAGAAGAAGGGGGAGAAAGGGGGCTGAAGTTATTTAAAAAGTGGGTACAAGTTAAAAGTTTTAAAAAAAAATGGGTATAGGTTAAATGGAGGCGACCAAATAGGGCGCCCCAGACAATTTTTACAATTTTTACCCAAACATGCTTAACTGGGCCAATCTTAAATCATGAGTATTTAGCCCATCAATTTTCTGAGGGAAAACTCACAGGAGAAATTCAAAAATAGCCAAATTTATAACCGGTCGTTCAAAAATAGCTCAGTTTCAAAAGTAATCAAAATTTAGCCACTTTTTATGTAAAGATAAATTTGAGCGAAAACACTGTTTTAACCCGGAAAATACACCAGTATATTATACAAGTATGCTAGAACTCCAGCATATTATATTGGAGTTCCAGGATAAGTATGTTGGAACTCCAGGATAAGTATGTTGGAACTCCAGCATAATATGATAGAGTTCGAGCATAAGTACACTAGAACTCCAGCATAATATATTGGAGTTCCAGCAAGTATAATTGTCCAGTATAATATACTGGAGTTTGGAGCACCGGTGCTCCAGTCTCCAGTATATTATACTAGAGTCAGCAAAGTATACCGGTCCAGCATAATATGTTGGAGTTCATACACAGGTGCACCAAACTCCGGTATATTATGTTGGACCGGTCTCTGTTGCAGTAAAATAGTGACTATTTTTCATTGACTTCGTAAACACTGGCTATTTTTAAATGACCAGTCCGAAAACTGGCTATATCGTGCTATTTTTACAAAACTGACATGTTCCCTTATCGAATGTATTTGGGCCGGCACAATAGCCCGTACTGCATAATTTGGGAGCAGAAGACAACGGAGAATGAAAGATCATGAGTGAACACATCATACATTTTACACTTTAAAAGATTTTACAGCCTGATTAAATATCAACGCATCTATGTGGGAAATTTGACCCCTCATGATTTCCCATAGTTTGCATGAAATTAATTAAACACCACTTAACCCAAAAATCATGCACTTGCATGTAAACACACAGCCAAGAAGAAAAAAACGTTAAAGAACAGCCCATAAAAATATTAACTAGACAAAAACAAGTAGCGAGGAGCATTTCTTGTTTTTGATGCTAATTTAAATACAATAATTTCATCTTTTCAACTATTTAATTTTTCTCCTTATAAGTTTCTTCACTTGTGTCCAATGGAGGAAACTTCTGCTGTGACAACTGCTGCATCATTCTCATTTGCCTTAAGGAATGGCACCCTACTTACTGAGGCTGATTTAGGCAAAGTAACATTATCCCCTGATTTGGGCTTAGTGTCCAACTTGTCATCTGATTTGTACTTGTACCAAGATGCCCAATAGAGATAATTTATAAAGTTTAGGCAGCTTAAAATGGCCAAGAACCAATAGAAAAGTTGCAAATTATTCTGATCCAAATCTTGACCAGCCAACCATCCTTTCTTGCTTTGTGAAAATCTTTTGGTCACTGAATTGATAATATCCACAAAAACACTGCTCAAGTAGTACCCAAAAGAGAGTGAAATCCATGTAAAAGAAGTAGACAGTGACCTCATTCCTGCTGGTGCTTCTTTGTAGAAAAACTCAAGCATTCCCACTAAGGTAAACATATCAGCAATTCCAAAAATCCCATATTGAAAAGATAGCCAAAAAACATGGATAGGCTCCAATGGATTTTTCAAAGATTGGTGTTTTCTTTTTATCTCAACAAGTGCAGCTATACCCATGGAAATAATTGAAAGGACTAATCCGACGCCGACACGTTGGAGTTGTGTGATGCCCGAGGGATGATTGGTGATTTTTCGAGCAAAAGGAACAAATACAAAATCATAAATTGGTATGAGAATACACATGAAAAGTAATGGAATTACTGGAACTGAAGGTGCTGGTACTTCAAAAGAGCCAAAGTGACGATTCATTCGATAGCCTTGTTGTACTGAGAATGTTTGGAGTTGGGCCAAACATGTGTTCATTAAAATTGTGCTAGCAATAATAGGCAACATTCTTGTTAATATTTTCACTTCTTCTACTTTGGTCACTGTGCAAACTGTCCATTGTGTTGGCTCAACAGTTTTTGGAAGAATTGCAGCTTTGTCTAAGTACCTGCATTAATATACTATAAATAGTTAAACTACATTAATCATATAAAAAATTTGCAATATATCAATGTATATAACTTAAATCATACTATATGATTAGAATATGTACATAAACATCATCCGGCTAAGCTCTAGAATTATATAGCCAATCTTAATATAATTATTTAGCAATAATCCTAGCTACTAATGAGCATCAATTTTCAGAAATAATAACATCATAACCTCAATCGAATGAGTATTTGGTATCTTTTAACCTATTACTTTAATTGTCACATTTTCCAGGGCAACATTAACGAATTTGTTTAAATTAAGTATTATAGGATCCAATGTACTTGTGATACTTTGGGAAATGGCAACTTCTCTTTTGAAAGTGTCTAGTGGGCGTTTGGACATAAGAATTGTAAAATTCCAAAAAAAAAAAAAAAAACTTTTTCAAGTGAAAATGATACTTGAAAATTAGAATTGTGTTTGAGCATGAATATAATTTTAGGTTATTTTTGAATTTTTGTAAGTGATCTGAGTGAAAATTTTGAAAAATAGATTTTTGGAATTTATCAAATTTTCGAAAAATTCCAAAATTCATTTTCAAGTAAAAATTAAAATTTATGGTCAAACAATGATTTCGGAAAAAGTAAAAATAATTTTAAAAAAATGAAAAAATTCTTTTGTCCAACTTTCAAAAATGGACCCACAAAAATTTATGCACTGGGTTCCCTTTTTCTTCTTTTCTCTTTTTCCCCAGTTGGGGTCTTTAAATTAAAAAACAAGCAATAACAAAATAAAAGCATGAAATCATAGCCGTCCAATGAAATTAGTAAGAGATACAATATGCATTACCTGAATTGATTAGTATGTGCAATTTTTGGCTCTAATGAGTCAGATTCTTTCACATTGATCTCATACAACTCTTCAGAATTTTCTGGTAATTGCAACTTTCGGTTTCTAATTGCCACCTTGATAACCTATATATTATACCAGAAATTTGTTTTAGAGATTTTACAGCATATATCCTATGTAATTGAAAAAAATACACGATGCTTAGTTATATTATATAACAGTCATGCAATTAGCCCTGAATAGTGTCATGATTTAATTTATTTTAAGGATTTCCTATTTGACATGTAATATTCTGTGCCATGAATATTTGATGATAAAATAAAATTACTGCAGGCTTTAATAATTTGTTTTAGTCGAACGAAAAAAATAATAATAAAGAAAAGAGAATATGTAAATTCTTGGAAGTATGATTAATTTCAGAAAATGTAAATTGACCAATGTAAGGGACTTACATTAGGATAGAGGCGAAGTAACATAAATGCATTTTGCATATATAATTTGAATATTGCCCTTAATATTTCTATGTTTGCAGTATTTGTTTTACTTAAAAAATTTATTTAAATAATATTTACACAATCAATTTATTGTTAATGTAAAAGTTAAAGTGTACTGACGGTGTAAAATATATTTACCCTCAGGTTACTCATAAGATATTACATGTAAAACTTTATAACTAATATCACTCCTAGTAATTGGTAGCCTACTATGACAAGTAATTATGTACTGACTACATACAAAAATATTGCACAGTCAACGTATATAATTTAAATCCTTAAACTAATTACATGTAAGATTTTAAGCATTAATAGATAACCTAGTAAAGACGGTAATTAACTAACATCTTCTAGTATAAAAAATCTAATATATATAACTTAAATTGTTACTTAAATATTAAAGAAAAAGTACTCTCATCCTCGTAGGGAGTATTTTCTCCTTTAATGGATGTTATGCGAGCAAATGCAGATCAATCGTGCTCCAAAATAAATTTAAGCCCCAAATGAAAAATCAAAAAAAAAAAAAGGTACTCTTTACATATACCAAATAAATAAATAAAAAGAAGAAGAGAGTGGGAAATAAAACCTGCAAAATTCTTGTGAGAGGGCTTTCACCAGGAACTTGAAGTCGGTAGAAAGGCTTTCCAAAGACAAAGATAAGGAAACCAAGGAAAGTACCAACCAAACTAATTAGGAAACCAATCCACCAACCTTTATTAGTGCTAACCCAAACAACGACAGTGACTCCAATTGCTGAACCTGACACAGAGCTAAGCAACAGCCAATTGAAGTATCTTCCAAGAGCCTTGGCCTCATTTGGATCCTTGTGATCAAACTGGTCAGCACCTAATGCTGGTAGTGCTCCCCTTACCCCACCAGTCCCCAATGCTAACAAGCAAAGTGAACCATAGAATAATAGTCCTATCCCACCTTCTAAACAATTTGACTTGCCACATACTTGTGGTTGCAAACTTGAGTAACGAGCTTGAATTGTCATCAATGTCCATGCCTAGATATGAAGAAACTAATATTTTGACGGCTCGTTTGTTGAAAATGAAACAAAAAAATTGTATTTAATATTCTGACCGTTAGGGTGTTGAAAATTTGTGGCAAATACTCCATCCGTTCACTTTTACTTGGCATGTATATTAAAAATAGATTTTTATTTTTACTTGTCACTTTACGCATATCAAGAGAAGATAATTTTTTTTCTTGTTATACGCACAATATTTATTACGCATATCATTTTCTCAAATTCAATAAAATATGCATCAATTAATATGGGTATTATGGTAAATTATGCACTTCATTTATTATTTCTTAAGGGGCGTAAAAAGTCAAAACGTGTCAAGTAAAAGTGAATGGAGGGAGTATTATATTTACAGATCGAAAAATTTCAACCCATCGCGCACCGACCATTTCATACATCAAGGACGGTCGTAAATACAGCGGCGGAGCCAAAATTTTTATTAAGGGATATCAAGATATATAAAAGTAAACATACGAAAAAAACACATAGTATATATGCATACTATAAATTAATCATTATTGAGAAAACTAATTACTTACAAGTATTTCAGCTGTTCCGAATATGAGAATGGTATGGAATCTGCTGAGGTAAGTATCAGAAATAAAACCACCAATAATGGAGAGCAAGTACGTGGAGCCCAATAAGTTAGTGACAGTGTTGGCTGAGCCGCTGAGGTCCAAATGCATTTTGAATGAGAAGTATAATACCATACTCACCATGTTTGCTACAAATCCAATGTTATCTAATCCCACAAAACCTACAAAGTAATAATTACGACGAAATCTCAAACATTAATTAACCATCTGTTAACTACAAAATTTCCCAAGGTAGGACAGGAAATAACTCTCTTACCATAGATGAAGGAAGAAGCTCTGAATCCACCTTTTCCTTTAATTTTGTATGAGCTTACAGAATTGTACTCTAACTTTGTACCTTCCTCCTGACAACACATAAAAAGAAGCAAGAAAGTTATTTTTTTGTTGTTAATTAAGGGGTAGGGAGAAGGGGGGAGGGTAGAGGATAGCAATTAAGCACTGACCATTGTTGCAGAAAGTTGAGAGGATTGTCAGTTAGATAGTGAAATATATAACTGCCAATTCGTGTGTTGTGTTTTGGGTACTAAAGAAGTTGAATGACAAGGTTCTATATAACGTTCACGGCTTCAAATTCGTCGCTTTCTTCCTCTCTCTGTCATGAATCATGATTAAGATATGGCTGGCATCTAAGTTGGGCTTACCTTTCCATAATTGCACAAAATATGGGTTGTGGGCACTCCGATCCACTAAATTAAAGAACGTATTTTTATTACTTATTAACTTTTTATTTCATCAATTCAAAAGGCGAATACACGAGGATTTAAAATTAGTCGAGTACTTAGAATGTGTGTAATCTTTTATATATATAAATTCATATACATATCGCATTCAAGTCGATCGAAAATAATAAGATCAATTGAATCACTAGAACTCCTCTTAAATCTACCGTTGAGTGCTCCAGTTATCTGGTTAACTTGCATTATTTTTCTCTCTTTTGGGGTAGGGGTTATAGAGGAGGGTGGATTTTAAAAGTTGGGAGTTACTATGCTGTGTTGGTCGGACCAATGATAAATGTACTAAGCTATTGCCCTATCTTCGGGGATTTGCATCAATTCTAAGCTAACATGTTCAACTTAATTATCTAAAATTATTATTGTCCTTTTCATGTTTAACTGTGAATTATATAAGAATATAGGATCTTCACAAGATTTATGGTTACAGAGGTAAAACATCAAATCAACGTAATGATTTTTCATGGAAAAATTGAGGTTATGCCAATTATTGCAAGTCCAACTATTTTTCTGTATCTATATGTATTTCTTCGGGATACTGATCGACAAAGTGTCACGCACACGGACTGATGGACATATGCACAATAAATAAACAGACATAAATTGCATTAAACAGTTGATTTCTTCATTGAAACAAAAGCTAAAATATGATTGGAATATTACATATCCAGCTGAGAACCTCATTAGTCGTTAGTAGGCATCTTAAACTTAACTACTCTGTTTTTTTTTAGTTATATTCAGTAATTACGGCGTCATCTTTCCCTTATTCTCTGTATACGTGTTGAAACAACAACAACCCAGTATAATCTCACAAGTGGGGTCTGGGAAGGGTAATATGTACGCAGACTTTATTTCTACCCCGAGGGGCACAGAAGTTGTTTCCAGGAGACTCTTGGCTCAAGAAAGCAACAAGAGACGCTATATTAATACTATCAATAGACTCATAATAAAATAACATAAAATCCATAACATAACATAAAATACCATAAAATAACAAAATAACAGCAATATAAGAAATATAGGAAATACGAGAAAAATGTAAAGTATACTAATAACCAACAGATAAAGTCCATCATCAGTAGCTGATCAGTAGCATTCTAAGACTAACTCCTAACTGGCTAGTCTCACTCTAGTCCGCTGTAGAAATATTCACAATTTTTCCCTAACCTACAACCTTAATACTCGACCTCCACAATTCCCTGTTAAGGGTCATGTCCTCAGTAACTCTAAGTTGCGTCATGTCCTGCCTGATCACCTCTCCCCAATACTTCTTAGGTCTCTCTCTACCTCTCCTCGTACCCACCACAGCCAGTCGCTCACACCTCCTCACTGGTGCATCAGTGTTCATCCTCTGAATGTGCCTGAACCATCTGAGTCTTGCTTCCCGCATCTTGTCCTCCATGGGGGCCACACTCACCTTCTCTCGAATATCTTCATTCCTAATCTTATCCCTCCTTGTATGCCCGCACATCCACCTCAACATCCTCATCTCTACAACTTTCATCTTCTGGATGTGTGAGTTCTTAACCGGCCAACACTCGGTCCCACACAACATGGCAGGCCTAACCACTACTCTATAAAATTTACCTTTCAGTAACGGTGGCACTTTCTTGTCACATAGGACTCCCGTCGCTAACCTCTACTTCATCCACCCCACCCTTATACGGTGTGTGACATCCTCGTTGATCTCCCCGGTCCCCTGAATAACTAACCCAAGGTACTTGAAACTACCCCTTTTAGGGATGACTTGAGAATCAAGCCTCACTTCCACTCCCGCTTCCGTCGGCTCAGCCCCAAATTTGCACTCGAGGTATTCCGTCTTCGTCCTACTCAACCTGAAACCTTTTGACTCAAGGGCATGTCTTCAAACCTCTAGCCTCTCGCTGACGCCTCGTCGTGTCTCGTCAATTAGGACTATGTCATCAGCAAATAGCATGCACCATGGCACCTCCCCTTGAATATGATGCGTTATGACATCCATCACCAGGCTCTGTATACGTGTAGAAAACATAACATAAAAAAAATATTTCCTCGTCATAACAAAAAATATTTCCTCGTCATTAATGTATTTGCTCTTGCAATTGTGGTATCTCCGATGAATAGATGACTAAACAGAAAGTGTAGTGCTCTTACATTTGATACAGGGAAAGGGGTTATTGAACAAAGAATTTGTTGGTCCAAGTGAAGTTTGTTTTGAAGATTGACAAAGGAACTCAAGCATTAATCAGGTCCATCCACAGTGTACACAGACACGGGCAGATTCAAGCATAAGGGATGCACGTGAAGGAGATAAGCTTAACTTGTTATATTTGATATCTCTTGATCGAAAAGGTTGCATAATTGATAAGAAGAAGGACTCCTTACTCAAAGAGAACACTATCCAAGATAAGGAAGGAGTTAGAAGTTGAAGTTAACTAGAACTCTTCCACCCAGGAAGAGTATAGCATTGGAACTCTAGTTATTTCCTATTCTACTAACTCTATAAATTATAGGATGTTCTCACTCTACAGACACACATAAAAGTTGAAGTTAAACGTGAATTGAGAGCGAAATAGCAAGGCATTTTGCAAGCAATTCTTGTGTGATTCAAGTGTGCGAACCTGAAGTTACATGAACCAAATAGAAGAACCAGTTCCAAGTGTCTGTATTTTATTATAGTTTCATTGTAGTGGGCGGTTTTCAAATTGTACCTTTCAGCTTTATCTAGAAGCAATTGTATTAGGTACTCTAAGTATTCAAGTTAGACTTAACTTGAAGTTGTCGCAATAGTTAGAGGCTAGTTGCCACAACGGGATTAGAGATAAACCTTAGGTTTACAAAAAGTTTTTGTAAATGCTGTTTTGGCTCAATGATTTAGTGAAATGTTGGGGAAAATCTTACTGATTAGTACGTCATGATTTTTTTACCTTTTGAGCCGGGTATTTTCCACGTAAAAATAGTTGTGTTCTTTACTTTTCGCATTTATATTTCCACAATATTAGTATAAGAAACGCATCGAAGAACCAGGTCCTTCTATAATCTGTACATGTGAAAATTAGACAGCACACAAATCATCCTCCCCCCTCCCATTGTGTGGCATTGAAGTATAAAACATCAATTGGTATCAGAGCAGGTTATCCTTGAAAAGGCTAACACCTCTAGAGAAGATCAACATGAGTGCACCACCTGGAAACTGGGAAGGGCAATCCACTGCTAGGCCACCACTCTTTAATGGCCAAAAGTACTCTTGGTGATAGGATGAAAGATCACATTATAGGAAAGGACTATGAGCTATGAGACATTGTCACCGATGGACCATTGGCTACCTTGAAGAAAAATGCTGAAGGAGTAGATGTACCAAAGATAAGAGCTTATTGCACTACTGAGGACTTGAGGAAGTAGGAGAAGAATGCTAAAGCCAGGAAATGGCTTGTTTGTGGACTTGGTCCAGATGAGTACAGCAGAATCCAAGGTTGTACCACTGCTAAGAAAATATGGGACACACTGCAAGAGGCTCATGAAGGAATACCTCAGGTAAAGAGATCCAGAGGAATTCTACTGTACTCTCAATATGAGTGTTTTGCTATGAAGAAAGGAGAAACTATTCAAGAAATATACACTAGGTTCACTATACTGACAAATGAGTTGAAATCACTTGGAAGGATTATTCCTGAAGAAGGAAGGGTCGAAAAGATATTGACTAGAGTTTTGTCTATCGCTTGGGAGAGCAAAATCACACTGCCATCCAGGAATCAAAGAATATTTCCACTCTTCTACTGGATGAATTGATTGGAAATTTTACTGCCTATGAAAGTAAGAGACAGACCATGGAGATGGATGTACCCAAGAAGGAAAGGTGTTTGGCTCTCAGAATCACTGAAGGTTATGATCTGGAAGATGATAAAATGGCCAGGATCACTAAATACTTCAAGAAGTACCTAAGGAGAGAAAAGGGTTCTTCAAGAAGTGGTATCTATAGAAAATCAAAAGCTCCTGAGAAAAAAACAATGATGGCTGCTACAAGTGTGGAAAGACTAATCACCACATCAAGAACTGTCCTCTGTGGGAAATTGAGTAGAAGAAGGAAAGAGATGAAGGAAGGAACAGGTTCAACCCAAGAAAAGCAACAACAAAAGATTAACAAAGGTTATGGTCGATGTTTAGGGAGATAGCTCAGAAGATGATGATGATGATGATGAACAAGCACTTATCACTATTGGAGAATCTAATGAAGAAGTTGAGGTAAGTGTTTCTCATCTAAAAGACGAGATTAATTTTTTGTCTAACGAAAGGTTACCTGAGTTGCTCCTAGAGCTAATTAATGAATTTGAGGATGTAACCAATAAAAAGGAATAACTGTCAAAAGTGTTTGTAGTTTTAAAAGCTAAGTGCAAAAACCTGGAATATACGGTTAGTGAAACTTAAAGTGAAAGATGATGTGTTGAAAAACCAGGTTCATGAACTTGACACAACTGTCCTAGAACTTAGATCTGAAAATCTAAAATTGAAATTAGGAACAGATAAAAAGACAGTTGATCACACACAACTCACTTTAGAAGAAAATGTAGGAAAAATAAAAGATAAGTTGTACAAAAGAGATGAGCAGATAAGAATCCTAAAGGATGGTCTAAGCAAGGTCAAGCATGAGCTAGACAGAACCTGTAAATAGAACAGGTCCTCCGATGCACTTTCATGGCTACAAGAATACCATAGTAGCAACAAAAAAAGACTTGGCTTTGGGAACCCTGCAGCTAAGTAGGATCCCAAAAGCAAGTACCTCACACTTCTTGAGAATAAAATTTGCACACACTGTGGTAAAACGGGTCACTATAAAAGTGAATGCAC